CCCAACAGCGACAGATCTGCCAACCCAATCACGAGGTGATTGAAAGTTGTGGTTTCATCCAATCATGAACAAGGAAACTCAAGCCTGGTCTGCCCAGGTGTGATTTGCTGCCAATCACGAGTGATTTTATTTGTTAGTGGGTTGTGGTTTCATCCACTAAGGAGTAAGGATATTCAAGCCCGCTCGGCTCGGCCACCCGCGGTTTCGCTGCATTCATATAATAATTCGGGCCATTCGCACCTCCGCCAGCTCTCCGCCTACGTCATGGTTCATTTCCGACAATTTGTGGCACAGACAAACGCAAGACACTGGAGAAAATGATGACGTATTTTGCAGGAATGTAACCATAGAAACCATTTGATGACGTAAATTGGTTGCTATGGTTACATGCCTGTCATGTGATCTCATCAGCCTTCTTTAGAAATAGGAGGCATTCCATAACTCAGAGCATAACAGAAGGGGCCACTGCAGAGCTCCTGAGAGCTGAAGTTGTGAGCATCTGTCTAATTTTGAAAAAACGTTTTACCCCCAGTACAATGACTCATCTGCACAAAGTCAGGTGAGGTTTTCACAAATATGGACAACTCCAGCAGTGAGGAATCATCCTGCATGGAATCTGACTATGAAACTCCAACCTCACCGAAACCATTGCAGAAAAAAGAGCTTTTCATACTCTGCAACAAGTCTGTACGATACAAAGTATTGGAGTTTATTGGAGAAGGATGTTTTGGCAAAGTAGCGAAGTGTGTCAATATGAATACAAATGAGACTACGGCCATAAAGATCCTCAAAGACGACAATGATTACGACGACGAAGTAGAAATGCTGAAAAAGCTCAGGACACTTGACCCAGAGAGAAACAACTTGGTGAGATTCATGGACAGTTTCATAGTCGATGACAAGTCTTGCATCACTTTTGAGTTGCTAGACAGGAGTCTTGGGCATTTGATAGAACAGAGAAAGAAACGATTGACTCTTAATGAAATCCGTCCTATAACCCGTCAGCTACTTGTAGCACTCGACGCCCTGAAGGGTATCGGCCTCCTTTACACAGACCTGAAACTTGACAACGTTATGCTCGTCAACCACCAAGATGAGCCCTTCAGAGTGAAATTAATTGACTTTGGTTTGGCCATGCCAGCTTCCGAAGTATGGGAAGGAATGATTGTACAACCTTGTGCATACCGAGCACCAGAAGTGTCCTTGGGCCTCCCCATATCTGAAGCCATTGACATGTGGTCACTGGGATGTCTCTTGGCACGTCTGTTTTTTTGCCAGAACATCTTTTTAGGAATATCAACATACAACGTAATGAAAACTATTTGCTGTCTGCTCGGTCAGCCACAAGACCACCTGCTAGATGCTGGAAAAAACACTCAGCGGTATTTCAAGAGGAATCGCTGCCCTCCCAATTCACGATGGAGACTGAAGACACCAGTCGAGTACAAGAAGGAAAATGATAACCAGCTGCGGTTGCCAGAGTGGGAATTCGACCAAATCGGAAATTTGGCTGACGCGGTAAACGAATATTCAAATGCAATTGACGAGGTTGAAGTTGAAGACACAAGGGCATTTTTAAATCTCCTTCAAATGTTGCTCAATCCAGATGCTGAGATGAGAATAACACCTGAGGAAGCCTTGGAACATTCTTTTGTCACCATGAGTCACCTGGCTGACTACACTCACAGAAGCTCTTATACACAAGCTGCGTTTGAGCTGATGGTCGTCTGCCCTGCGTGTGATTCAGACGAATGTCATGAATATCTCAGCGATTTTGAAAGCAACACAGAATCATCTGACCCAGGAGAGGTTTTCTCAAACGTGGACAACTCCGGGACTGAGGAATCATACTGCATGGGATCCAACTGTGATACTCCAACCTCACTGGAACCATTGCAGGAAAAAGTGCTTTTCATACTCAACAACAAGTCTGTACAATACAAAGTATTGGAGTTTATTGGAGAAGGAACCTATGGCAAAGTAGCCAAGTGTGTCAATATGAATACAAATGAGACTACGGCCATAAAGATCCTCAAAGACGTCAATAATTATGTCGACGAAGTAGAAATGCTGGAAAAGCTCAGGACACTTGATCCAGAGAGAAACAACTTGTTGAGATTCATGGACAGTTTCATAGTCGATGACAAGCCTTGCATCGCTTTTGAGTGTTTAGACAGGAATCTTGCGCATTTTATGTTACAGAGAAAGAAACGATTGACTCTTAATGAAATCCGTCCTATAACTCGTCAGCTACTTGTAGCACTCAACGCCCTGAAGGGTATCGGCCTCCTTCATGCAGACCTAAAACTTGACAACGTTATGCTCGTCAACCACCAAGATGAGCCCTTCAGAGTGAAATTAACTGACTTTGGTGCGACCATGCCAGCCTCCGACGTAGAGGAAGGAATGATTGCACAACCTTATGTATACCGAGCACCAGAAGTGTCCTTGGGCCTCCCCATATCTGCTGCCATTGACATGTGGTCACTGGGATGTGTCTTGGGAGGTCTGTTTTTATGGCAGAACATCTTCCATGGAGAATCATCGTACGACGNNNNGCCGTAGTCGCCTGGATGCATCAGCAGAGCGTCCTCCTCTCTTCCTCCCGCTCTGGCCCCAAAAATGTTTAAAAAATAACAGGTGCAGCTCTTTTAAAAATGGAGCATGCTGCTCTCTAATCTTGTTTGTGTGAATCCTTTCATCTCGCCCTTTGTTCCTGTGTGTTGTGTGTGTGGTGTGTGTGCCAGGTGGCGAGCTTCAGAGCTCCTCAGGACTCTAGATGACGGGCCTGATGAGGATGCCGACTGGGATGATGAGAGGGAGATGGAGAGGGTCGCTTGTGAAGCAGAGGACTTCATCCCACCTAAAATCATGGTGCGCATCTCAACAATCGATTTTCTAATTTTTTTTCTAAGCCGACCGAAATGCATCCGTCCCGTTTTTCTGCGTCTGTGTCCTATTTTCCACAGCTAGTTTCCTCCAAGTTCCAAAGGCTGAATATGTCCCTAACATCATTCGTAGGGACGACCCCTCCATCATCCCCATTCTTTATGTGAGTAGCAGCCCTTCGGCTGTATTGATTCATTTAGTCTTAAGATACAACATGATATTCTGACATCAGTAACCATGCGGCACCAGGCTGTTTTTATTTGAATACATTTGGGTGAAATTAAAGATATTTGAAAAGCTGAAACTACTGCAACCATGGACAACTGCAACCATTACCCACGGCAAGTGGTTTTGCCATATTGAAGATCTTAAGCAAAGATCTGCGTTGGCCCAGCGAGTGATGGAGTCATCCAGTGCAGTTGGCAGGTTTCATTTTCGTCTTAGTGAGGAACTGTTCAGTCCCTCTCGTGAGAGGGTGTCTCTCTAAAGATATATGCGACTTGTTGGCTTTAATGGTCTCCCAAGTGGCACCTTGTTCTTTGTCTGCTCAGAGGAATTAAAGACGTGTCTGTTGCTGGTATTTTCTCTCCAGGAAAGAGAAACACAGAACGTAACATTTTAACGTCCTTAAATCCTCTTGAGCTTTGCCAAATCCATAATAGGATTATTATATTATTATAATAATTGTCTTGGCAGTTATTCAAACCTTTCTAGCCATGCTAAAATGGTAATGACATGTCTTGGATGATGAATCCCAAGAATAACCCCCTTTTTAAGAAGTTTCAACAGATACTAGTTTGATCGCCCTGGTTGGTACGTTCATGTTCCCCTCAGGATGAATTGTAATAAATTGATAATCCTCTACCTGCTCATCTAGAGCCAATTGCAGGTCAACATTTCAATTTGTCCAATACTTTGGTTTGTGATCAAATACAATACAAATACATATTGAACAGTATTATATAAGTATTACATGTTTTAAACAATATCCAGGTCAGCTGAGTCTGGTACTATACTGGGTACTATAATTGTTGTTTTGACTTGCATACCTTGTTAATCAACTTATTCAAAAGATCACGTACTGTAATTGTGAATGAGTAAAAATCTGAATGTGTAAATCCATCTGACCTCTGGCTGTAAATGATCCAAAGTGGTGTCATTTAATTTGATTTGATTGATTTGAAGGGTATCGCTTAAAATAAACACTAATTCTGCTTCAACCTTCCATTTAAAGGACCATGAACGTGCCACGTTTGACGACATCCTCGGTGAGTGTGACATTTGTGTGATTTTATTTTATTTTTAGCTCTAAAGTGAAAATGACTCCAAGTGGAAAAGATGAGGACCGACTAAGTTTCAGCTTGCTGGAGGGCCGAGATGACTCACTGTTTTGTACTGTGTGTGTGTGTGTGTGTGTGTGTGTGTGTGTGTGTGTGTGTGTGTGTGTGTTGTGTGTGGTGTGTGTGTGTGTGTGTGTGTGTGTGTGTGTGTGTGTGTGTGTGTGTGTGTGTGTGTGTGTGTGTGTGTGTGCGGACGTCTCAAGAGAAAGCCAATTTATGTGTCTCACCATTACAGCTGAGTGGGAAAAGTGACACCTTTCTCCCTCTCTCTTTCTCTCCCATTCTGCGTCCAGAGGAGATCGAGAAGAAGCTGGCGGCCTACAGGAAAGGCTGTAAGATCTGGAACATGCTCATTTTCTGTCAGGTGAGTGACAAGGGAGACGGGGCAATATTGTGAAATCATTGACATGTGCTCTACATTAGAGTTTGCTTGCAATGTGGCAGAAGACTTATTTCTAACTAATTAATTCAGCAAAAAACTGATACCAGCTTCTCAAGATATCAATAAAATCAATTTAAGCGAAAGATATTTGCATTTGGCAGCTTAAAGTAACACATCTCCTGCTGTCTTGATGAGATATACAACTACCAGCTACCACGGGGCGATAAGAGAGGCTTCGTCTTCACTTTTTGGCGAACTGTAACGTTGCACATCTTTATATAAAGTCAATACTATATTCAGATGGATGTCATAAGTACAGTAAAGATGTCGCGGTAGAATCCCTATAAACTATATATGTTTTCTCTTCTCTGACTGTGTTTGAGCATCTGAAGCATTCTGAATCCTCGCTGGAGTGAATATTAAAGAGCACCTATCCACATTTACTGACATTTCTCATGTTGGTCTCTTATCAAAAGGGCTCAAACTATTTTGACCAAAACCTTAAATCCTACAGAAAATGAAGGACTTTTACCCTTAACAGAATCCATGATAACACAAGCACCTTTCCTCAGGGAGGACCTGGACATCTGTACCTGCTGAAGAACAAAGTGCCACATTTGCGAAGGTGGAGAAGGAAGACGACATGATCCAGTAAGACTTCATTCTGGTTGTAACCATAAATCTAGCAGGGTTTTTTTTTATATCTCCATCTTCAGTTTCACCCTTTCACGCTTGGATTATACATTTAAATAATTGCAATAAACAATATGCCAAGAAGTGCGACCTTTGTCCGCTTACTGTCGTCGAATCGTTCCGTTCCGACCCTTAACCCTCCTACCAACCTGCCCGTCTGTCCTCCTTTCCCCCCTCGTGTCCTTCTCTCCCCTGCGCTCAGGTTCTGGCGGCGGCTCGGCAGGCTGATGAGCAAGCTGAACCCAAAGCCCAACCTCATTCACATCATGGGCTGCTACGTGCTGGGCAGCGCCAATGGGGAAAAGGTAGTGGTCCTTTTTGTGGGAACAAACAGAGACTCTCACCCTCCTGTAGTTAGTGCAAGAGTTCACTTGAAATGTCTACATGAAGCACAACATCTGAGCTATGCACACACACAGACACACACAAAGGTATATGCTCTGTATAGAACCATGCAGATAAGATCCTTTGCAAATAGGTATTATAGATAAAAAAGAACCAAGGGAGCGCTTGTTTGTGCATGCGAAAGATAAAATAATGTAAAGAAAATTTGTGGAGTGTGTAGAGATGCCTTCACCGCACCCTCTGAGGGCTCACACATACACACACACACACACACACACACACACACACACACACACACGCAGGAATGTAACCATGGAAACCATTTGATGACATACGCCATAGTGTCATTTGATGTCATCACTCTTTGATCAGTTCAACCATAGAAACCATTTTCATGACTGTCTGATGTCATCAATTGGTCGCTATGGTTACATGCGTGTCATTTGATCTTATCAGTCATTCCTTTGATCTCTATAAGGCAAGACATTCTATAACTCAGAGCATAACAGAAGGGGGCACAGTTGAGCTCCTGAGAGCTGAAGTTGTGAACATCTGTCTAATTTTGAAAAAACGTTTTACCCCCAGTACAATGACTCATCTGCACAAAGTCAGGTGAGGTTTTCACAAATATGGATAACACCAGCAGTGAGGAATCATCCTGCATGGAATCTGACTATGAAACTCCAACCTCACCAAAACCATTGCAGGAAAAAGAGCTTTTCATACTCTGCAACAAGTCTGTACGATACAAAGTATTGGAGTTTATTGGAGAAGGAACTTTTGGCAAAGTAGCGAAGTGTGTCAATTTGAAAACAAATGAGAATACGGCCATAAAGATCCTCAAAGACGTCAATGATTATGCTGAGGAAGTAGAAATGCTGGAAAAGCTCAGGACACTTGACCCAGAGAAAAACAACTTGGTGAGATTCGAGGACAGTTTCATAGTCGATGACAAGTCTTGCATCGCTTTTGAGTGTCTAGACAGGAGTCTTTGGGATTTGATGGTACAGAGAGAGGAACGATTGACTCTTAATGAAATCCGTCCTATAACTCGTCAGCTACTTGTAGCACTCAACGCCCTGAAGGGTATCGGCCTCCTTTACACAGACCTAAAACTTGACAACGTTATGCTCGTTAACCACCAAGATCAGCCCTTCAGAGTGAAATTAATTGACTTTGGTTTGGCCATGACAGCCTCCGAAGTATGGGAAGGAATGATTGTACAACCTTGTGCATACCGAGCACCAGAAGTGTCCTTGGGCCTCCCCATATCTGAAGCCATTGACATGTGGTCACTGGGATGTCTCTTGGCACGTCTGTTTTTATGCCAGAACATCTTCAATGGAGATTCATCGTACGACGTAATGAAAACTATTTGCTGTCTGCTCGGTCAGCCACAAGACCACCTGCTAGATGCTGGAAAATACACTCACCAGTATTTCAAGAGGAAACGCTGCACTCGCAATTCACGATGGAGACTGAAGACACCAGAAGAGTATGATGACCAGCTGCTATTGTTAGAGGGGGAATTCGACCAAATCGGAAATTTGGCTGACGCAGTAAACGTATATTCAAATGCAATTGACGAGGTTGAAGTTGAAGACACATGGGCATTTTTAAATCTTCTTCAAATGTTGCTCAATCCAGATGCTGAGATGCGAATAACACCTCAGCAAGCCTTGGAACATTCTTTTGTCACCATGAGTCACCTGGCTGACTACGCTCACAGAAGCTCTTATACACAAGCTGCCATTGAGCTGATGGTCGTCTGCCCTGCGTGTGATTCAGACGAATGTCATGAATATCTCAGCGATTTTGAAAGCTACACGGAATCATCTGACTCAGGAGAGGTTCTCTCAAACATGGACAACTCCAGCAGTGAGGAATCATCCTGCATGGAATCTGACTATGAAACTCCAACCTCACCGAAACCATTGCAGAAAAAAGAGCTTTTCATACTCTGCAACAAGTCTGTACGATACAAAGTATTGGAGTTTATTGGAGAAGGATGTTTTGGCAAAGTAGCGAAGTGTGTCAATATGAATACAAATGAGAATACGGCCATAAAGATCCTCAAATACGTAGATAATTATGCCAAGGAAGTAAAAATGCTGGAAAAGCTCAGGACACTTGACCCAGAGAAAAACAACTTGGTGAGATTCATGGACAGTTTCATAGACGATGACATGTCTTGCATCGCTTTTGAGTGTTTAGACAGGAGTCTTTGGGATTTAATGTTACAGAGAGAGGAACGATTGACTCTTAATGAAATCCGTCCTATAACTCGTCAGCTACTTGTAGCACTCAACGCCCTGAAGGGTATCGGCCTCCTTTACACAGACCTGAAACTTGACAACGTTATGCTCGTCAACCACCAAGATCAGCCCTTCAGAGTGAAATTAATTGACTTTGGTTTGGCCATGACAGCCTCCGAAGTATGGGAAGGAATGATTGTACAACCTTGTGCATACCGAGCACCAGAAGTGTCCTTGGGCCTCCCCATATCTGAAGCCATTGACATGTGGTCACTGGGATGTCTCTTGGCACGTCTGTTTTTATGCCAGAACATCTTCAATGGAGATTCATCGTACGACGTAATGAAAACTATTTGCTGTCTGCTCGGTCAGCCACAAGACCACCTGCTAGATGCTGGAAAATACACTCACCAGTATTTCAAGAGGAAACGCTGCACTCGCAATTCACGATGGAGACTGAAGACACCAGAAGAGTATGATGACCAGCTGCTATTGTTAGAGGGGGAATTCGACCAAATCGGAAATTTGGCTGACGCAGTAAACGTATATTCAAATGCAATTGACGAGGTTGAAGTTGAAGACACATGGGCATTTTTAAATCTTCTTCAAATGTTGCTCAATCCAGATGCTGAGATGCGAATAACACCTCAGCAAGCCTTGGAACATTCTTTTGTCACCATGAGTCACCTGGCTGACTACGCTCACAGAAGCTCTTATACACAAGCTGCCATTGAGCTGATGGTCGTCTGCCCTGCGTGTGATTCAGACGAATGTCATGAATATCTCAGCGATTTTGAAAGCTACACGGAATCATCTGACTCAGGAGAGGTTCTCTCAAACATGGACAACTCCAGCAGTGAGGAATCATCCTGCATGGAATCTGACTATGAAACTCCAACCTCACCGAAACCATTGCAGAAAAAAGAGCTTTTCATACTCTGCAACAAGTCTGTACGATACAAAGTATTGGAGTTTATTGGAGAAGGATGTTTTGGCAAAGTAGCGAAGTGTGTCAATATGAATACAAATGAGAATACGGCCATAAAGATCCTCAAATACGTAGATAATTATGCCAAGGAAGTAAAAATGCTGCAAAAGCTCAGGACACTTGACCCAGAGAGAAACAACTTGGTGAGATTCATGGACAGTTTCATAGACGATGACATGTCTTGCATCGCTTTTGAGTGTTTAGACAGGAGTCTTTGGGATTTAATGTTACAGAGAGAGGAACGATTGACTCTTAATGAAATCCGTCCTATAACTCGTCAGCTACTTGTAGCACTCAACGCCCTGAAGGGTATCGGCCTCCTTTACACAGACCTGAAACTTGACAACGTTATGCTCGTCAACCACCAAGATGAGCCCTTCAGAGTGAAATTAATTGACTTTGGTTTGGCCATGACAGCCTCCGAAGTATGGGAAGGAATGATTGTACAACCTTGTGCATACCGAGCACCAGAAGTGTCCTTGGGCCTCCCCATATCTGAAGCCATTGACATGTGGTCACTGGGATGTCTCTTGGCACGTCTGTTTTTATGCCAGAACATCTTCTTAGGAATATCAACATACGACGTAATGAAAACTATTTGCTGTCTGCTCGGTCAGCCACAAGACCACCTGCTAGATGCTGGAAAAAACACTCAGCGGTATTTCAAGAGGAAACGCTGCACTCGCAATTCACAATGGAGACTGAAGACACCAGAAGAGTATGATGACCAGCTGCTATTGTTAGAGGGGGAATTCGACCAAATCGGAAATTTGGCTGACGCAGTAAACGTATATTCAAATGCAATTGACGAGGTTGAAGTTGAAGACACAAGGGCATTTTTAAATCTCTTTCAAATGTTGCTCAATCCAGATGCTGAGATGCGAATAACACCTGAGGAAGCCTTGGAACATTCTTTTGTCACCATGAGTCACCTGGCTGACTACGCTCACAGAAGCTCTTATACACAAGCTGCCATTGAGCTGATGGTCGTCTGCCCTGCGTGTGATTCAGACGAATGTCATTAATATCTCAGCGATTTTGAAAGCAATATGGAATCATCTGACTCAGGAGAGGTTTCTTCTAACATGGACAACTCCAACACTTAGGAGGCACACTAAATGGAATCCAACTGTGATACTTCAACCTCACCGGAACAGCCACGTTTTGGGTTCACGACTTTTATTTTGTAGTTTCAGGCCTCTGGTGCTCCTGGGTTAACTTCACTTCTTCTAACCCTATTCACCATATAACGTAAACCCCCCTAACCCTAACCCTAACCCTGTTTATACTTTCTCCCCTTTCCTCTCGATGGTTAGTCGTTTTTTAAAATCTATTAGTAGATTTTACTTTAATTTAATTCTATTTGTCCCTCAGACGAGATTCTATTTGTCCCTCAGGGGAGCACGGTCGTCCTCCAATCAGAGGCTTGCCTTGAACCCGACTGAACAATGCCAAGAAGCATCCCCCCCCCCCCCCCTTAAACACACACTGGGAAAAGGGCTGAATGATCCTTGTGTTTGTCTCCACAAGCGCCGTGTTCGGCAGCATGAACCAGTTCACCGGAATCGGCGTATTCGTGGACGCGTACCCCAACGTCGAAAAGAACCTCGACGTGAGTGACGGCCGGGTGCTTCCCTCGCACCAACAGCTGGGCCTGAGCGTCCTGCCGTGCTTGGTTATACAAAAATTATATCCAAAGTG